AGTGGACATTAATCATGTGCATTCCACAATGCACGGCCACAAAAAACATTGCCACTGATTCTTTGAGTTTCCGTAGTAGGAATGTAAACTGGGAGTGACGGGAAGCACATGCCAGGACAAAGCTCAACCCGTTAGTGTGACAAACTGGTGCAATGTGTTGGATTTCAGGGTCTGACAATGTCTCCTATTGTTTGCTTGAACCCCCTGAAGAAGCAACACGTGGCGAGAGGGGCACGAAGCTCATTTCCACAGCGAGCGACAAAAGCAGCGCGAATACGACGATGCAGGCCCCGCAGACACGAACGACCCAAAACGTGGTTTTGAAAGGCGAGGAGCTGCAGTCTGACTCTGAGGAGAAGACACAATGTTGAGAGGAATTTCTGACCACGATTCATTCGATTGTGGTCTGAGGTCTCTCGGAGTGTTGTGGTTCATTTACAACAGGAGGCCAACTGTAAAAGGAGAAAACCATACACGCAGGGAAGTGGGGGTTCACCAGTGCATGTTTGAAACACATCGCAAGTCGTTTCAGAATATCTTCAGAGCATGTGGGAAAACATTTACCTGGATTACATGTGATTAAAAGATGGAATGCAAACTACAAATAGTAAAAAAATACAAAAAAAGTGTCACTGATCGTAACTGTTAAAACAGGGTGCGGAACCAGTGGCTTTTAAGACCATCTGAACCGGACCACCAAGCAATGCTGAACCCAAACGTTTCAAAACAGTTTCTGTTAGGGCTGAACAATTTAGAAAAAAAATGATCAAGTTGCAATTTTTTTCCTCAATATTGCGATTAAGATTCAATAGGTGATTATTTTTTTCAAGGTCCTGTCACCCTGTATTTTTAAACAAACAAGCAACATATTAATCTCGATTATAGTATCACATTTATTAAAGATACATGTTTTGGTCTCATAGCTTATGCCTACACTAAAACAAAGGTAAATCAACCATGAATTAATAAGAACGATTACCGAAGGTATCTCAATGCATTTGCTACAACAACTTTACCAAATTCTAGTGTGCCGTGAGCATAAATCCATGAATCATAAGTCTGATTACAACAATAATGCAAATGTGTGGCTTTTCATTATTCATGAAACAATGATATGCAAACAAGTACACTGTACTTCTTAAGCAACAAAGCTTATCTAGACACGATATACAAAGTAAAACCATACCTATACCTCTCTCTCTCTCTCTCTATATATATATATATATATATATATATATATATATATATATATATATACAGTATATGTATATAAAGCACAACAAGTGACTGAAATGAAGCAGTTTTTTCCGCCTTTGTGATTTGAAAATTATATTCTGCTGTGCAACGTCAATTTGAAATTTGAATTTGATGAATAGTTCAGCCCTATTTTCTGTTGCACTAATGAGAAAGTGTGGTGAAACAGTGAATCTGTGATAAAAATAATCCAAAAATTGGAACACACAAATGCTCACAACACGTGTGCTCCTGTTCCCTCATATTTTTCTTGATAAATTTAGCATGGCCTTCGGAAGACTTTCTCCCACTTGACAAGTGGTGCAGATCAAAACATCATAGCACCGTGGCTGATAGGATGCACTTAACCTATCTTGATTCTCGCTTAGAGCTTTGAACTTGCAATCAGTGTTGAGTTCTGCTGTGTGTCACAAGCCATCCGCGGCATTCCCATTCATCTTCAGTGATATGTGAGGAAAGCGAGCTGAACAGCGCTAACTTGGCAAACCTTCACGGTGGTCTACGCAAAACAAAACAAAACAAAACAAAACAAAAAACAACTTGGTAATGTCTCTGCAATTTCATGTAAATCTTCCATATATTTTTCCTCTCATGCCACGTGGAGTTCAAATGACCGTTCACGTAGGAAGACTTCAATTATTATTCATTATTCAGATGAGCTATATCGGAAGATTTTCGTTTTCCCCTCAGCGTTTGCTTTCTGTCCAGCTGTGTTGAAACTGGCCGCATGCGATGCTCGTCAGCAGAAGCATATACTGTACACGCAAAGTTTCCATATGTCATTCGGTTGGGTGTTGAAAAACAACTGTCGGAAAAATGTCCATGTAGTCATACCATGAACAATATGTTAAAAAAAAAATTACAAATCCTTAATTAAGTAACATTTTAAATCCTTCAACATTTAACAACATAAAATTAACTGCCAAACCGCATTGTTCATTAAGTTGATTGGTGTAACAGTAAGAGTAATGCAGCAGCTCTCTCATGCGCCCTTCACGTGTCGAGTTGTATCGGTGAGGAAGCAAAATATTTGCAGCTTGGAAACACATACCTCGGGTCAAAGGTTTCAAACATGGATAAATCCCTGCTTTTGATTCTGCTCATGTTGTGTGTTTCTTACCAAGAAATGAAGTGGTTAGTCACTTGGGAAGAGGACGGGTGGTGGTGGTGATGGGGACATCAGAAAAGTAACTAAGTATAGCAAAGCAAGCAAATCGCTATTTTGGCAGCAATGACTGTTTTTGTAAAGTAGCTCCTCTCTGGTTGCACCCATGTTGTTAGTCTAAGACTGAGTGATGCATGTCAGCAGGAATGAGCCTTTGAAATCCGAAAGCGGCGAAAAAAAAGCAGTTTAAAAAAATTTGCCCAGTCAAGTAATCCGTCCACTTTCAACAGTGCTTATCCTGAAGAGGGTTGCGGGGAGTTGCTGAAGTCTATCCCAAGTCATTCGCAGGGCACATATACAGGCCTGAGGATTTCACGGTAATGATCATTTCCGATAGCATGTCGTTTCCGTGGGATCATTTGTACGGGACCGAAAAATCGTTTCCCATAAAAATCACCGCGCAATAGTTGACTGCACGCGATAGAATCTCTCCTGTGTGATCAACGCGATTTCACTGTGCCTGTATGTGTGATTGTGGTGTGGTGTGTGAGTGTGTTTCTTCTATTCTACGTTCATTTTGTTTTTATGAAGTGGTGAGGGGGGCAGAACAGGAAACATTATGTGTGCATGCGCGTTGCTATTTTAGTCTGCACGCTGAGAAAGCACGTGGATGATGGATTGAGATGGTGGCGAAAAAAAAACACCGAAAGGGTTATTAGTTACGACATTTAAGAAGTGAGAATGCCAGTCGGATTTTTCTTTCGAATCATCTGAAGAAGGGCGTATTACCAAGCTGTCGTGTGACGTATGCACAAAACACAAAAGAGAAATATGACGGGAGGCATGATTCTGAGGCAAGTATTTGAAGTTGGTCGTTCGCTCTAAAAGCTAATCGCTATGAAAAATATTATGAAACACTCTTAGTTATTCTATAATTTACTAGTTGTAGACATGGTAACTTTATGAATAAAATAAAAAATTGTCACAAGGTGTAGTAATACTAATGTGAACTGTTGGTAGGCCTAACGATGACGTGTTGTAGATTCTTTAGTCAAATTGATAGTAGATTACACAGTGCATCGTCTTGGGGTTGCAAAGAGGACGTCATGCCATTTCAATACGATAAGTCTATATGTAGTAATAAGGTCTTTTTTTTTTTAAAGATTCATCACATGATTTTAATCATTCAATTACTATTATATGCTTTTGTATTAATAAAGGGGGTGAGTAGCCATTGATATTATGTTTAGTTACATAAATAGTACACACACACAATCATGTTAACAGTGTCAGGTTTACTTGTGGCCCATGGTATACAGCCAGGACTGAATTACTGTGTACACATATGTTTTACTGATGGCCACAGTATTTATTTGATATTGAATAAACATTTGTCAGTATGAATCTTGCAATATCTCAAAAATTTACTGAACAAAGAAATGATAGGCTGATTAGAGTGAACTTCAGAATCGTAACTTCGGAAACTAAATATGACCTTGCTACATAATTACTTTCATAGATATTTAGTGGTCAGTCAGTTAAGAGGTCATAATGTTTTATTATAAAACACCACTGTGTGTAAATATGTACATGTGTGTATATATATATATATATATACACACACACACACACACACACACATACTTGCAGACAGTGGTTCCTCTACTTATGAACGTCTCTTCATACGAAAATCTCTATAAAGTTCCTTCAGATTGGACAGCATTTGGCTAATTACTGCTATTTGCAGGCTTTATATGCTTGTGGATGTGTTTTTTTGAAAGAAACGAGGCAGTGTGGACACATTTTGCCTACACAGAGAGCGGAAAATATTTGGTTTAAAAAAAAAGACCGTCTACATTTGTATAAGGCCAAAGTCATATCATTCAAGTATGAAATCAAAGTCTGAGGTCTGAATTCACGAAAGGATTGTGTGGCTTTTGGGTGGCCCTAACCGGTAAAAGTGTAACAAGTCAAAAGTGTCTAAGTCATAAAGTACATCCAGATGGTGAAATGCTTTACTAACTACAAGGCCAGGCAGAATGTGTCTGTGCGGCAGTGGTATTTGCATGATTTTAAAGAGGTTATATGCATTTATTTGGCGGAGAAATTACTCATCTCGATGCAAATGAGACCCATTGATTTAAAAAAAAAAAAAAAAAACTGTAATTCACTAACACCAGCACTAATAGCCCCACGCAGTCTGAGCGAAGCAAATAACGTCTACGGAAAGCTGGTGCAAAATTGCCACTCCTCTGTGAAGGCCTGAAAAAGCAGTTGCATGGAGAAGGCATCATCATTGAAGGCCGAGCTGCCCCTCCCTGTACATAGATAAGGTACTGTTGCATAGGGCTCCTTCCGCCATGGGCGGGGCGCCCATTTTGTATGAGCATCCCGCATTGCGACAGGTGACCAATGTAAAGGAATGCTCCAACATGTTGTAAATTACATTACATCAAAATATGACATGGAATGTTTTTTTTCTCTATATTTTCCGTCATTTCTCAGCAAACATTGTTTTGAAATCAAAAGTCGTTTTCATTTGATCTTGGCGGAGGACTGCACAGTGCTTGGCAACATTCTAGTTCAAGCACATAGAACTTTCCATTGCTTTAAGCATGTTATTATAAGCTACAGTACTTACCTCTATGATGTAAAGGACGATGTTTTTGTAGAAGCAGTACAGGATGCATTTGGCTACACGGTTGTAGTTCCAAGCTCCATGGACCAGCAGAAGATTCTTCAAGTATTTGAACTGCGTGGGGAGGGGAGAGGGATGGAAAGTGAACATGTTTGCTTTGTGTATACAGTACATACAGTATCCAATGGTCCTTAACAGACAAGATGTTGTGAAAGCCACAACAGCAGTGTCTCAATGTAGGAAAGAAACATCAGGAATTTGTCATGTCCTAACAGGGAGATGGGAAAATAATAGCCCCCCCCCCCCCAAAAAAAAAAAACACCATGCGGGTATTCAAAAGTTCAGTGTAGCCGTTACATGACTTCGGAATGATCCTGCAATGAGCACGCCTGTGGTGAGTGTAAAATTACAGTGTAATTTCTGGCTGATAAGTGTGATTACACTGGAAATGGCTCAATGGCCAGCCTGAAACAAATTACATGTGTCCTTTCGTGTGTCCGAAAAAGGCAGTAAAACAAACAAATTATCGCTGGCATTGCAATGGTGACCCTGAATCCTCAAAATTACCTTTTTGACCAACTAGGACATCACTTAAGTCAGCGTGTGCACTTCCCATTGAACACATTGTCAATGGCGGGTTGAAAAAGCATGTGGGAAGGTTAATATTTCCCATGTTGGCCACGCTGGCAAAGGGCCAATCTAGCTGATCAAAATCATCCCACGGGAACCTCCATAAAAATCTCTGGCCTTGTCTGGGTGCAAATTGAATAATCCCACAATTCTCCATGCAGCCAGTGATGCATATGATTGGTTACACTATAATCGTAGCATCGCTTGCTTGTTGATATTGGAAAAAAAAAAAACGTGTTGCTGGTGTTGCCATGGTGACCCTGAAGTATATCATATCGTTGCCAGTAATAATTCTGCTTCCCCCTAATTGTCCAAATATTACTGGAGAAGAATTTGAATTTTAGTTTTCACATACCCACATCATTCGACTATGGTAAGTTAAATATGGGGGGACCAGCCAGGATGACTTGATAGTTGCGTTTGCACAAGCACCAGCTGCCAATGCTAGTTTTGTTTTTTGTTTTTTTAATTCTACCTTTGGTTATGAAATCAAGAAAATAATTTTGCACTTTAAATACATACAAAGTGACCGGGACACATTTTATGAAGTACCTAAGACTACAGTCATTTCCAACAACATAAAAAACTATTACTTATAATAAATACAAAGTTGAATTCCACTTCACAGTTGTCGGGGGAGACTGAGAGGAATACAAACCTTTATTTTCTGCACTTTGTTTTATACAAGTGTTTGCATAGGTTCGGTAACATCACGTTGAATTGCACAATTACACCGACGGACAATTTAATCTTCAATTTACCCAAGAGGCGTGTTTTTGTAACGTGGGACAATGAAGTCAGAGCACCTGGGAAAACTCTGCAATTGGCCGTAAACTTCACACAGGAAGGCCAGAGCTGAGATTTAAACCCCGAACCTCAGAATTGTGAGGCACACATGCTAACTGCCCTAACATATTTTCATGTAAATAGTAAAGGACAGTTGACTTTTGACTTGTACTGATATAAAACTGAAATAATCATCTATGACAGTTTACCCAGACCGTGCTTTACTTAGATTTTGAACAGCTTCCCAGGTTGGATTTCACTTTTCCAGTCAGCCAATTATAGCTAACATCCAGCAATGCCAATACTGTAGAGAAAAAATATAAGTTAAAAAAAAAAAAGACTCTGGAAGTGTAATTTAATTTGCAATGTGTATTATAAGAGGCCACCTGTCTTTGACACACATAAACCTTGAACACGTAATGCGGAGTGAAGTGGGGAACACACTCAAGCCTCTTGAATAGTAATTGCACGCTCAAGGACAGAGCACGCACTGTGTTGTACACAACTATCGCTTTCCCATGTTCCCCGGCCCTGTGGCGGCAATAGAAAAATGTTGCATTGAATGGTGTTCTGTGTGTAAAGACACGAGTGTTTTCGTTGCGCTCGGGTATCGCATGTCGACAGACAACCTGCCTTGGAAAGTACAGTACGTGTTTACATTGTGAATTTTGCCGGAGTAGGTTTGTGATCTAGTTGTGTGGGGAGTTCGGTGACGTTTGGATCCGTGTTTTACAGGTGTTACCACTTCACTGTATAAGCTGATGCCCGAGCAGACAAGAGAGCTTTTGTTGCGCACAAAAACTATTTCAAACACAAACAACACACTTGACAGTTGCAATATCAGAGAAAGTTAACAAGGTCATACTTTAAACTCTTTGGAGTGTTTGTAGCTGAATGTTGTTTTGGCTTTGAGGTTTTATTTAATTTTAAATTGATTGCTCAATGTGTTTCATGGATTGTACATGGCCCACGAGCCATAGGTTGTCCCCCCCCATGCCTAAGGGCCTCACAAACATCCGACCATCCATATTCTGTAGAGCTTGTCCTGATGAAGGTCACAGGTGACCTGGTGTCCATCCAACACGGCTTTAGGCAAGAGGCAGGATACACCCTGGACTGGTGGGCAATCAATATAGATGAAGAAATATTCACACTCACATTCACGCAACGATTTCGAGTCTTAATTGAACCTAGCATTCATGGTTTAGGAATGCCAAAGAACAGGCAAACGCCACATTGGCGGCCCGAGCAAAGATTTGAAACCAGAACCGCTAGGGTCATGATCCAAGACCCATTAAAAAAACTAAAATTAAAAAAAAGGACCTCAACTTATATTGGCTTTTTTACATTCATATTTTATTCGACTGAAACCCCTCTCTGCCCACATTCTGATGATGTTTGTGCCTCAGTTATACTCTGAAAGGAGAACATTTATATGTAGACGTGCATCCTACAAATATATTCTAACCCCATATTGATTTTTATTGAATGAAAAACATATGTATTATAAAAAAGAAAATAAAACGAGAAGAGATTTTAGTGTTTCCTCCCCATTGACGAAAGGCCAAAATGCGCGGATGTAGATGACAATGTTCCCCACATTGTACTGATAGAGATCCATGGTCAGATCTGGGGAAAATATTTGGGAAAATCTGAATGTAATTAAAAAAAAAAAAAAAAAAAAGTCTGAAACCGTGAATGGGTCTCCTTGGGACTCTACCCAGTTTATGGTACTGTATTACTGTATACAGGAAATCTATACAAGTATATGAGTTGTTCACCAAACACATCAAGTTACAGAATTAATCAACTCAACTATATTTTCAATGATATTGAACATTTGAAAAAAAAAATCTAAACTTGAATAATAGAAGTGATGAGAAAGTACACTATTCATTTCGAACGATCACTGTCAGGCTCCGAGACCGGTTCACTCACCTGAGCAATGGAGTAGTCAGAAGAGTTGGCGGCCTGCAAGCCCTCGTTGCCTGAAATTCCCACTCCAACGTGGGCCGTCTGAATCATCCCGACATCATTGGCGCCATCACCGATGGCCAGCGTGATCACCTTCACTTGCTTCTTCACCATCTCCACCACCTCTGACTTCTGCAGAGGAGACACTCTGGGGGGGGGGGGGGGGGGGGGGGGGTGAAGAAGGCTATTGATTTTGATTTATACACTCTTTAAAGTCGCAAGATCAGGCATTGTAATTAGTCTCAGGTTTGATAAATCATATAACGTGCAAAATTGATCGATTGTATTTGTATATCCCCCATCCAAAAGCCACAAAATGAATTGCATGGGAATTCAATGTTTTGCAGTAACAATCCAGGTTTTGCCCAGTTAGAAGATTAGCTTCCACAATGTTTGGGGTGCGCAATAAAGTTTGTTCCCGTTTTTGCACAAACGAACCTTTGGTAAATCAGCCTCTAAATTTTAGAAATAAACCAAACAAAAATACAAAACAAAAAATGAAAAATGTGTCACAATATGACAAGGGAACCTGATGCCAAATGAGTCATATTAGTACACATATGAGTCTATATGTTGTCATCTTAAAATTTAACGGTCCAACTTTGACATGATGCCAATCCGAGACAGCTATTGATTTGGAACAACAAGAGACTTGTATTTGTTTTAAGTCGGTACTACAATTTGAAGTGAAAAGTCAGCTATTTTCACCAAATGGACTGGAATGAACCAAACCAACACCTCTTGATTTCCTCCAGTTGTTTGTCCTTGAATGACTACTTTAAACAATCTGTTTTTGTTTTTCGGCACTTGGCATTAAACTAAAGCAATGTTATTGAAATATTGCGTGTTTACCTCAAGTGTTTATTGTCCTGAGAGAATATTTACATCTTATTGCAGCAATTATGTTGTCATAGAATTGCAGGATTCTCCCATGAGTGGAAGGCCGACATGATTTTCTGCCAAAAGTCTCCATTAGTCCCCAAGTGCTTGTGAATATGATCTGACTTTTCAGAAGAATTTATGTTTCAAATTTCAGCATGCTGTCTAAAACTGTGGTGGGCTTGTAATTGGGCCGGGTTGACCTCCTCTGTATGCTCTCCCCGAGCCTATTGTTAAACATACAGCTGTACAATCTCCATGCATTTCCTAGTGGATGGTTTTTACTGTGCTCCGAGGAGCTTTGAACACCGTACATGGTTTTATGCATTCATCTCCTCTGCAAGCATTTATTTCCTTTACCATGTTCGTGTACTCTGTGTGCCCTTTTTGGATAATGTCACATCTTGGAGATACAGAAGTTTATATTTATGGATCACTCAGTTTCCAAAGAGTCTTCCGTCAATATCAAATAGTCTACATTAAATTGAGGTTTTTGAAAATTTCAATCTCTCATTAAGCAGGATGCATGTGAGACTTCAGCAATTCAAAAGATTAGCTCTTGGTCTGGGTTGTTGTTTTTTTTTTTTTTTTGTTTTGTTTTGTTTTGTTTTTGCAAAACCAAAACATTCCAGTAAAATGGTGGTTAGCTATAACTACAGCATTGGATACAACTTTAGGCTGCCTCACAAGGGCTCATGTCAGCAAACATCAACAAATCAGAATGTTGCTTTTTATTAGTTTGTGGCTTTTTTACAACACTCATTTCACAACAAGAAGCAGCGTTAAAACAGACTGTTAAAAGAAGGGCTTTATAACCATTTAGGGATGTGTCTGCCACATGCATGGATCACCATATTAGTGAAGTGTTTGAATTTGGCAGCTTCATGTGAAATAAAAACACACTCAACATTTCAGCTATCAATGTACTGTCGTTTATCTTCTTGAAAAATGTGACATGCTTCGGTCAAGGTACACTGTGTGTATGATGTTCACAGTTGGACCTGGAACACATTATTTCAATTGATTGTTTCCCATGGGAGGAATTGTTTCAGAACGTGAAAAAAATGGAGGTCAACCACCATCCCCGAAGGTTTCAACTGGACTATTTCACCATCACTACAAGACGCAATCATTAAAAGTGGCTCATTTACGTACAGCACACTAGTAGCCATTGTTAGTGACACAAGAAATGTGTTTTTATTCTTTCACTACATATTCACACAGATTGTTTTGCGCTACAGATCCTGCATATGACTGTTGGGCCAATTGGAGGTGCCGTGGTGGGAAATCCATCAGATTCATGCTCAATACAGTATTATGACAACGAGGTGAAGAAAAACCATAGACATTACTTGAAATGTTAAGGTAAAGGTTTGATTAAGCTCTGGTTAAGCTCATGGTTCCAACTTCAGGTCATAGACCATGTAGGTACATGGTGCTTGACAGCTGAAGTACTTCCTGTTATTGATATGATTTGGCCAGGTCAACAGTGTCCCTCAATAATGTTGCAAGTTGACATTCTCAGTTCTCCTGCGACTAGAAAAACCAGGGGTGTCAAACTCATTTTTGTCGGGGGCCACATTTTAGTTACTGTTTCCCTAGGAGGGCCATTATGACTGAAACCAAATAAAAAAAGTAAATAACAACGGTTTATTCAACTGTTGTTTAAGTTACTGTAATGAGGGGTTTGGTTACAAGAAAATGCTTACAACATGCCTCTTATTTATTACATATGAGAATTTTAAATTTTGGTAGAGATTTTAGCAAGCATCATGCAAGTTGACATGCTTGATTTGCTTCCGCGGGCCACATAAAATGACAAGGCGGGATGGATCTGGCCCCCGGGCCTTGAGTTTGACACCTGTGATATTAAATCCATGTTGTAAAATCAGATGAAAAAGTTGATTGCGAAACGTGGCTCCACGCAAGGAAACTTCTGCATTAATGCTAAAGAAATTTGAACATTAATAAGAATCTAACAATTCACCAAAGTTAAAAGTTAAGATTCGACTTGTATCTTGATGTCTGACCCAATTCATTTGAATGAATATATATATATATATATATATATATATATATATATACGCACACACACACACACACACACACACACACACACACACACACACACATACAGTACAATAATATAATTGTTATATTAATGTATTTATAGCGATATTATGTTTAGAATATAATTCATTCATATAATCAATCAAATCAATCAATCATAGCAGTCAGACTTGATTGGGCTTGTATTTTCTTCCGTGCCCCATTTAATTTCTGTTCGAATTTAGGACGTTTCTTCTGGTGACCTAAACTAACATAGACTGCATGGTGCGTAATTCCAGGGTTCTTAGTAGTAGTAGCCATGTTTTCTGTGCTTCTCTGCTCTACTCTCCTCACATAGTTGAACTAGCATTGGCATTGCCTACTCCAGTCAGATGATTGTCACCACAAAAAGCATTTACATGGCATGCAGTTGGAGGAGGCTTGCTGCAGAAAGGTATCTTCAATCTAGCCTGACGTATTTTTAAAATGAACTTAGCGGTATTTATCTTCATACATGGCAATGGCGAGTGATGAAAAAAGCGGAAGGGGCGTGGCCTGGACGGGGGCGTGGCCTGGACAGGGCGTGGTTACTTACAAAAGTGGCACTAAACATGCTGAAGATGAAGTGTATTAAATTTACACAGTTTGAAAATTGAACAGAAAAAAATCCCAAGATCGCCACTATTCTTTCAAGTGAAAATTTGTGCAATTTTGCCTATGCATTCCTGGTGAGCACCAATATGTAACTCCAAATTTGCTGCTCAAAATCAAAACTAAAAAAGTAAACACATTCCCTGCCATATTTAAGATTTGTTCATGACTTGTATTCATAAAGTGTTGTGTAAATGTGATAAAAAGCTGTTGATTCTTACCTCATACAGTGATAGTGAATATTTATTATGCATACAAGTTATTATGCATAACCGTGCTTTATTATCCAAGACAAAACGTGAATTATCAATATGAATATAAAACGCAAATAAAAACAAATAAATGTTATCATGCTGTTGCTACAAATGCATACCAAATAAAAGTGAAAATATCATCCTCGTATATTTGAATAAAAAAGTATATACATCGGAGTGTACCTGTCTATCGGCGAGGGGCGTCAGTGGAGCAGATT